GCTGTGGTTTGCAGGATGCCGCCTGCACGGCCCTGGTCCTGCTCTGCCAACTTGCGGAGGGGGAGCTCCCTGGGGAGCTAGCCCTCCTAATGGCCCCATCTGCAGTTGCAGCAGCCCCTTGGCTCTCCTGGTCTGCGCGAGCATCAGGGGAAGCTTGTGTCTCAGGTACGTTGCACAAATGAGCACAAAGCTGAAGTGGTTGGAAGCCTTTATTGAATCTTGTCCACCGGCTATACCTACCACAGGGGAATTCAGCAAATTCAGGTCTTCCAGAAGCATCCGGGATCTCCACTGCAAGCGTCCCCAAAGAGGCACCTTCAGTTAGATTGGGTGACACCCCCAGGCCTTCCCTCTATGCCTGACAGCCGCTGTGTGACTGACAGTCTACTTGGAATCACCACCTCACCTTATCCTCCTAATTTGGTAAGTTTGCTAAACTGTCTGGCCATCAGCTATGCAAAACAGGACCTCCCTTACCATAAGAGGTGATCAAAACTGCAAAGATAAAAGTTCGTTTGCTAACATTACCCACATGGCTGATGTGCAGATGCTTGCTACAAGACGATGCTGAATTCTGTCAGCTCTTCATAGCCTCCTCCGGTAGCAGGAATCAGGTGTTTGACCTGCAGTACAACAAACTCCTCTTACCTGCCTTCTTTAAATTTTGCCTGGGTGTCCCACCCCATGGCGATGAGGACATACTTCTGGGCCAGGAGAGGCTGGTGGGCTCGTACTCCTCCCGGGGACGTTCCGCTGAGCTACGCTGGGCCTCTCAGCTCGGCACAACAGTTGTGTGCACAGCTGAGGATGGCTGGAGCCCCTCCAGTGTTTGGAAAGGATGAGGCCCATCCCAGGAAGGGAGAGAAAGAGGCTTAAGAACATGACAACAGTGCTAGGTGACACTGATTGTGACATGCGCATGGTTCTGGTCCTCTTGGTGAGGGACAGACCTGCGGGGAGAGCCAGGCTGCCAGAGGATGATAGGGCTTCTCTGTATTTACATGTATTCTTGTTGTCTTGCATTTAGTTGTTACGTAAGGAGCTGGATGCGGGAGAGCCAGTGTACCTCTCCGAAATGCAGCGTTCCATGGGATGCAAAGAATTCCTACCTCTACATGGTAAGACACAGAGAGACTTTTATAAACAAAAATCTGAAGTCATAAAGCAATAAAAAACATGGAATTGCTCTAACAACAGAAAGTACTTGCAAAATGAACAAACAAAAGCTTGAGCTGCTTTTAAGCAAAATACTTTGCATTTGCTGGAACTTGAGAATCCAATAAGACGTTGCTGTCCTGGGTACACCTGGGTCAGTTTATTTTTTTTCCTTTATTTTTCTGTCCATGTCTTCACCTTCTTTTGTGAAGAATATCTCAGCCTAGACATCTGGCTTTGCAGTGGAGGCTGCTGTCCTACTCCAGCCTAAGCTATAGCAGCCCAAGTAACGGAAGGTCAGGAAAAAGTTGCACACTGAGAAGCGCTACCCGAGGATGATAAAAGCTCAGCGCTTGTTCATGGAAGGTGCGGAGACTTCACGATGCATCTCAGGGTGGGTGTAGGAGACCTTGCGCTCCCAAAATACTCCCTCCTCCTCCATCACATCTTCTCTTGCCTTCCCCTGTAGCTTCTGCTCTTTCCTGTAAGCATCACTCTATCTGTGCAAGGGGAGAATTTATCTTCTTTCTCTTGGTCTTGGAAGAGCAGTGTATTTCTATGTCACTTGACATTTCTTCTTGGATTCAGGGTTGAATTTTAGCAATTTAAGCAGCACTAATCTCAAAATAGCTCCGTGATTTGTTATAAATATACATATTTGTCTCTGAAATGCAGGGGAGCTGTGCTAGAATAGGGAAACTATGACTCACTGTGCAAAATACTGCTTCATCTGTATCATCAAAGGCAGCATCAAGAAATGATGAAATAGGAGCACATCAAGTCTTCTGATGCTCAGACAGCAGTTAACATATAAAGTCTTCCAGTAAAAATAGGAGAGTGCTGTTGAGATGGCGTAACCCTCCCCAGCTCACACTTCTAAAACGCCCATCTTCTCACTATCCGAACGCCGACTCTTTTACGGTTGTGGCTGCAGGGACACCTCTCAGATGCGAACATATCAGATGTCAGGCAGCTTCTTCATTTTCTTTAACTAATGTTTAAAGCTAAAATATCTAATAATAATGGAGGTCAGCACTAGAACGTACACGACAATAGCGCAACTGGGAGGAGAGATGGCAACATGGCAGGACTTTGACATTTCTTGTTATCGTCCTTTTGTAAGATGCAAACAACCCAGAAAAGGCACCTGAAGTTTTGTTTGTAGAATAACTAATGAGCGCTGCCGATGTGATCATAACTAAGATTTAGGATGTTCTGGTCACAGGGGAATCGGCGATAAGTGCCCCTCTGCTGCTTTATGCGGCAGCATCTTTATCTCAGAATACATCCTCCTCTTCCTAGACTCAACGGGGCTAAACTGATAACAACTGCAATGCTGCGGCTGCTGAAAACTTTTCGCTGGCAGCAGGATCGACGTGATCTGCCTGCAGGATGAGAATTGTATGGTGAGCTTATTTACATCCTATTTTTAGATACTTTTACCATTCAGGCCCTGTCTGGATTGCAGATACACACATGGAAAACAATGCTCCTGCTCAGGTTCCACCGCAATATTAAAAAAAGGAAAAACAATGAAAACCCACTCTGTTCTTTTTCCAATTCAAGGTAGACTTTTGTCTCTCCATCAAGTAAGGTATGATACTACAAACTGCCATTTACCAGCAGGTAAAATTATTAAGAAAAAAAGAGAAGCAAAGAGAAGAAGGAGCAAAGAGAGAGAAGAAGGAGCAAAGAGAGAGAAGAAGGAGCAAAGAGAAGAAGGAAAGAGAAAAAAAGAAAAAAGAAAAAAGGAAAAAAGAAAAAAAGGAAAAAAGACAAGCATTTAGAACTTCACAGCTTTAATCCATTCAAGTTTAATGTTACTGTTATTAAAAATCAAGTATCTACTGCTGCAAATTTAGCATTTTACAAACAGATAGAAACAAGTTCCCTGCCCTGAAGGCTCACAGTCTAAGTAAGAAAAGTGTAAAACATAAACAACCAGTTTAACCGGACTCTGGAGAACTGACTAATTTACCTGCTTATTGGACGAGACCCAAACTGCTTGTCTGGGTATCAAATGCCCCGTACTGCTAACCGCCAAGGGACTCTCCTTCAGCATGTCAAACAGCGGAGAAAAACCAGTCCATGTTCACTGCTTGATGGGAGCGAGTGGCCACCAAACACTGAGAAGTGACAAGACTTGAAACCCTCTGTCCTCACAGATTTCTTATTTGGAAAAAAAAAATTGATACGTGCACAGAGAGGGGCTCACCACACACAGACCTACTCAGACACGTCAGGAGCCATGAAATCAAAGACTTCAGCAGCACTAGAATGAGAAAAAGGCAGCAGACAGTTGGTCACCAGGAAAACACCTTCAGTGGTTGAAAACACTTTGGCACGCGTGGCTCAGTGCCAGCTCCCACAGCACAGGTTCAGAGCGGGTTCACCCAGGCTCACCCTGATCTGCTCCGGGCAAGAATCAGATTAATTTAAAAAGCCCAGAGCTCTGAGCTGGCCTCGCTGGCTGGGCCGAAGCAGGCACAGGAGCGCTCCTGTCTTACGCTGCTGGCAGGGCAGGCGACAATGAACAGCAATGACCTGGAAAGAGACCTCACGTCTTGGCCAAAGGAGTTTCCAGACTAAAACATCTGCCAGTGCAACCTGCTGGAGCCAGAGAAACATCTCTGTCTCTGAGGGCATGAGCCAGCCACCTGCACCCTCCCCTTGGCAGACACTTTGGAACCAGGAAGCAACAGAGGGGTTTCTAAAGCCCAATTAGTGATGAGGAAAATGAGCAGCAGGTTTAAAACAGGTCAGGCAGCAATGCCAGCCCTGAAGCTGCACTACATATTTGGGCAATTTGCTAAACACATTTCAGATGCTGGCAATTTTTTCTTAACGGTTTGGGATATGATGAAAGCTGATACCCAAGAACAAAAAGCATCCGTACCCCAAGCTAGCAGGAGGAGAAGGAGATGAAGGCAATAATGAAATACAAAGAAAAGGAGTGTTAATGTACAGGCAGTCAGCAGAAAGTTATCCCAACACTCACTTCAGCCTGGGAGTACAGGTGTGTCCCACCTCTGGCTTACAAGTGGTTTCCCCATTCAGTTCCACTGGGGGTCTCGTAGAGGTATGAGAAGGGGTTTGGGCGATGCCACCTCCTTTGGGTGTGCTCAGAGGTGACAGGCAATGGAACAAATTCCCCTCAGTTACTGCAGTGCAAACCCAGAGTCTGCAGCGGAGCATGTCCCAGTGCACATCAGAAGAACTCCAAGCAGAACGTGGCCCTATCATCATCATTTATAGCAAACTAAATCCGATTTCAAGCTCTAGAGAAGGAACTGAACCTATCTTTTCTAGCTAGCTTCCTGAGCAGAAGCAGCAGTGAAAACGTCATTTGGTCTGTGCCGAGGCACGAAGAGAGCTGGGAACCGACCAGCTGCCCTTCCTTGGCAAAGGGGGCATCCGCGCAAGCCGTCAGCGAGGCCTCACCCTGTGCACGTGTTTAGTTGCCAGGAGTCTTTTGCGAATGTGCAACTCAAACTTGCCCGTGAAATTGAGGACAGCAGAACTTTGTCAAGGGGAGCTGCCAGGGAAACTCCAGGCGAAGAAGAGCTTCAAAAAACTCAACCTCACTGGAACCAGTTCAAACAACTGACTCAAACTTGGAGAGGCCCAAAACACTTCTGTTCTTGAGAGATTTTTGGGCAGACTATGAGGTACTGTGGCATACCATCACCACCATGAAGAAAAGGGCAGTGGTGCCAAGGTGGATCCTAATTCTATTTTGCTTGGGTCTTTGGGATAAATTGTCAGAGAGCCTTTAACGCTGAGCAGCAAAGACTCTCCTCTCCTCCCTCCTCCAGGGGCTGTAGGGCTGCGTGAGCCTGCGCAGCCTAGAAGCTGTGGAGCGGTGCCTTCCTCGCACTCTGCGTGACCACACAGCTCCTCTCGCGCAGGTGGATCTTCTCGTGCTGGAGGAGGTGCTGCTTCTGGGTGAAGCGCTTTGGGCACTCGTTGCATTGGTATGGCCTCTCCCCCGTGTGGATCCTCTGATGCCGGATCAGATTGGAGGGATGGCTGAAGGTCTTCCCACAGTACGAGCACCAAAGGACCCCTCCGCTCCGGCCCGAGTGCATACGCTGGTGGATGATGAGGGTTTTCTTTTGGGAGAAGCACTCCTGACACTTGTCGCACTTGTAAGGCCTCCCCCGCGGGTGGCCCCTCTGACTTGGCTTGCAGCTGCCATTGGTGTTGACGCTTTTCATGCACCTGGGACTGCCGTACACCTTGTCTGTGGCTGGGATGCTGGTGTGGGCTTTTGCGTTCTGGTTCTGCTTAAACCTCTCCGTGACCACACGGGTCCTGTCTTCCACGTGGGTCCTGTCTTCCACGTGGGTCCTATCTTCCACGTGAGTCCGACGGTGCTGCTGATGGAAGAAGCCCTCCTCGTCTCCAGCGTGCTCGCTGCTGCACTGTGTGCCGTGGCTCTCCTGGTGAGTCATCAGCATCTTCTTCAGACAGAAGCCTTTCCCACACGCAGTACACGAGTGAGGTCTCTTGTTGGGACAGTTTTGCCCATAGAATGTGACAGCATTGCTTTCGCTGAGACCCTCTTCCCCCGGAGAGGATGGCACCAGCCTGCTCATGCCCTGGTTTCCAGGACAGCTGTACTGACTATCAAAGGGCAGCACCTCGCTGGGACCCTGGAAAACCAGCTCCTCCGACTCCCTGGATAAAGTCGTGGGGGGCTCTGAGCTTTGGGGGCATTCCTCAGAGTCCAGCTGCTCTATTTTGAACGTTATCACCTCATCTGCTGGAACTGGCAAGAACAACAAAGGGGACATTCACTGGTGTGAGACACAACACGCTTCTGAAATCCCCCCCACTCTTCCCCCTCCACCCACGAATCAAACAGGCCAGTCTTACACAGGGAGCGTGAAAGGCAGCTGTGCTCACAGACCAGCTGAAAGACCGAAAGAGAGAACACAAGCAAAAAGCACAGGGATGCTTCCCTTTCAGCTGGCTGAGGAGTGAGTGTGAGAAGCCGTGAGGGAGGGGGCAGAGGGAAGTGCTGCCTTCCAAGACAGCAGAGTTCAGCAGTTTCCAAAATCATCTCCAGCCGTCTTCCTTCTCCTAAGCACTAAGATCTCATGGACCTGGGGCAGCCCTTTGCTTTCCTCCTCAGCACGTCTGCCTCCCCCCCCGCCAACGACTCGGTATTTCTCACTCTTCAGAGAGCACCAGCTCATTCCCTGAGATCCACCTTCCTTCTACTCCCAGGATGTGGTGACCCACCTGTGTAGCCCCCTTCTTGAAAGGGGACACACGAACACTGGCTGGTTTTGACTCGAGACATGCCTGCTACTGCTCAGGATACATATGTAATGAGGAAGCCTGCTCTGTAGTCCTCACTGAGGCAGTACAAATAGATTTTTTCTGAGGGTTCATTGCTTTTCATCTCCGAGCTAGGTGCCTGGGGTTTTCTATTCACACTAAACCTGTCTCAAACTCTCCCTTGACTCTCATTCCTACCTGAACATTTAATTTTAGTTGACCTGGATATGAATATGACCCATTGGTGGAAAACCAACCAAAGGTCAAGGATGGAAGCTGCCAACACACAACCATTTTGAAACTTGTCAACAGTGTGAGGGCAGAATCTAAGCAGGGATCAGCCTCCTGTCTGGAGAACGTCACTCCCCAGTTCACTAGTGCTGTGCAGAGACTGACAGCAGAGAGGCGACAACATGACACAAAGGGCATGAGAAAAAGCATCTAAGATTTAGTCATAGCAGGGCAAATACCATCAAAAACTGAGCAAGCCCCACTGACACCTGTGAGGCGGCACAAGGAGAATAAACAGAGACCAGGACTGAGGGTGAGGAAGTGACTGGTGAGCTGGGGACGGTCTACTAATCAAGTAAATACTACATTATTCTTGGGAATAACAGAGCCATCCCGGCTCACCGGTGACTTCCCTAGCCTCTAGGTAGCCATCGAGGCACTGCTCTGGAGCACAGCTCCCTCTTCTGAGGATGCTGCCACCAAGCCGAAGAAATTCCAGGAGAAGAGCAGCAGATGTGCTCTGGAGGACGTGAGACAGGACCCACAAGAAGGAGTGGAGCATTCTGGGCCGGGTACCGAGAAGCCCAGGGGCTGCAGGGAAGAGCTGAGCTCTGCAGCAGCCACAGCCCTGCCGAACGCTGGCGACAGCCTCCCTGCAGCAGGGTGGGAGCCAGAGGTGACATTCCATCCGAGAATTTACCCAAACCCCTTCTAAGCCTGCTTTGCTTTCAGCCTTTGCTGTGCCCTGTGGCAGTAGGTTCTACAGCTTGCACATGTACGATAAGAGACTCTGCCCTGCTCGGTTTAAAGCAAACGCCTGCTCATTTCACCTGGCATCTTGGACAGTGGGAAAGAGCAAAGGTTCATTCCTTCAGCTCCTGCTGTGCACTTCTCACCCAGGCACAGACCCGTGTTGTATGCCCCTCTCCGCCACACCTTCCTCAGGCTGAGGAGTCCTGCTGCGTTCAGTCTCTCCCAACACAGAAGCTCTCCACCTCGCTGCTCTGGACCACGTCCCTTCCTACAGCATCCCTTCCAAGACTGAGGGAGCAGAACTTCACTCTGTTCCCCAGGTACTTTGGCATAACATCATCTTTGGAGAAGACCTTGAAAATTGTTCTTGACTTCATTCGTAATGACTCCTTGTATTCTGTTTGATTTATTTCAGGGATGCCTGTCTCCTTACCTGCAGCATCTTGTCTACCCAGCACTTTAATCTTCCTCCTAGTAAAATGATCCGTACACTTTCTGCCCGCTTTCCTAACCCCAGCGTGGCTCTTGCTCTTTCCCCACTGCCCCGCCAGCCTCTCCTCAGTCCCTGCGTCTCGGCATACGCTGTTACACAGCAG